CAGTAAAAAAATCGCCACGATGGAACACTAGGTGGCGCTATAAAACGAATAAAACTAAAAAAGGGCTCTGACCAGCTGACCGTTAGTCCGATTGACTTGAAAATTGGGATGCAGTGTCTTTGTCCAAGGCCCCATGTATGTGTATGAGGACATTGGTGTATCTCAAAAAACATGGCCGCCATCGGCCAATGAAGTTTGAGCACCTATAAAACAAGGTTAACGAAGGCCGATCGGAACAAAACTCGTTGGGCATGTTTGACTCATGCCCCTAGAGGTCTGTAAGAATTTTGAAAGAAATCGGCCACTAGTTGGCGCTAACGAGTTTTATGGCTCTGTTATCACGTGGTGTTGCACACACCCCCACAATATGTATATCAATTGATAGATCTCCTCATGCTGAACAACTTTGCCTCAAGAACCATTGCTGTCAATCAAATCGTTCGTTAAATATTCACGAATATGTTAAAAACGTACTTTTGCGAACTAGTCCCTGGTTTTTTGCCCGATCGGAACCAGACCAGTCTGGGACAATTCTTTGGACTCTCTAGATCAATAATTATCAAAAAAAGTTGAACTTTGTCATTTGTTTTGCTATAACAGGGTCATTTAAAAAAGGGGGCATGACAAAATGCACCCAAAAGCCTATAAATCCTAAAGGAAAAGTCAGAACTTCACAAAAATTGATGAGCATATGTGTCATAACGTATTCAACAAGCATGCAAAGTTTCATGGAGATCGGACTATAGGTGGCGCTATAATTGTTAAAAATATTAAAAACAATGTATACCCTATAGTAAATTGCCATTATTGAAACTTAAAACTTAATGTCTTTTGATGCTTTTGTGCTTAAAGGCCTTCAAGGCCTAAACTGCTTGAACCCCGCTAAATGCTGCTTGCAGCTTTAATTATTATTATTATTCTCCCCTAAAACGCATCGTGCAGCCCAAACCGTAAGTGCTGGAGCTCTGAAACTTTGTCAGATGGTAGTACAAAAATCGAGGAGAGGTTATCAAATTATGACCCCGATTGGCCCATAGGTGGCGCTGTAGCAACCAATTGCGCGAAACTGCTCATAACTCCTAGACCGTAAGTCGTACACAGAAGTGTCTTATATCATTGGAAAGCTGCTCACCTGATGAAAAAAATGTATATCTCCGATTTCATTTCCGTCATGATAGATTTTCCGTCATTTTGAATTTTGTCGAAAAACTACTTTTGCGAACTAGTCCCTGGTTTTTTGCCCGATCGGAACCAAACCAGTGCAGGAATGTTCTCTGGAGTCTGAAGATCAATAATTATCAAAAAAATGTTGAAATTTCTCGTTCTGGTCGCTAGGGGAAGCAAAATAAACGTTGTGGGAGGAGCCTATTTTACTAAAATGGCTATAACTCGAGAAGTAAATGAGATATCTTCACCAAACTCGGTACACATGTGTAAGAGTTCAATTTGAGGTCACAGTAAAAAAATAGCGACGATTGAACACTAGGTGGCGCTATAACATGAAAAAAACATAAAAAGGGCTATGACCACATGACCGTTAGTCCGATTGACTTGAAAATTTGTATGCAGTGTCTTGGACCAAGGCCCCATGTATATCTATGAGGAAATTGGCGTATCTAAAAAAACATGGCCGCCATCGGCCAATGAAGTTTGAGCATCGATGAGACAAGGTTAACGAAGGCCGATCGGAACGAAACTCGTTGGGCATGTTTGACTCATGGCCCTAGAGGTCTGTAAGAATTTTGAAAGAAATCGGCCACTAGTTGGCGCTAACGAGTTTTATGGCTCTGTTATCACGTGGTGTTGCACACACCCCCACAATATGTATACCAATTGATAGATCTCCTCATGCTGAACAACTTTGCCTCAAGAACTATTGCTGTCAATCAAATCGTTCGTTAAATATTCACGAATATGTTAAAAACGTACTTTTGCAAACTAGTCCCTGGTTTTTTGCCCGATCGGAACCAGACCAGTCTAGGATAATTCTTTGGACTCTCTAGATCAATAATTATCAAAAAAAAGATGAACTTTGTCATTTGTTTTGCTATAACAGGGTCATTTATAAAAGGGGGCATGACAAAATGCACCCAAAAGCCTATAAATCCTAAAGGAAAAGTCAGAACTTCACAAAAATTGATGAGCACATGTGTCATAACTTATTCAACAAGCATGCAAAGTTTCATGGAGATCGGACTATAGGTGGCGCTATAACTGTTAAAGATGTTAAAAACAATGTATTCCCTATGGTAAATTGCCATTATTGAAACTTAAACCTTGATGTCTTTTGATGCTTTTGTGCTTAAAGGCCTTAACGGCCTAAACTGCTTGAACCCCGCTAAATGCTGCTTGCAGCTTTAATTGTTGTTGTGACTACTGAGGTCAGGCACACCTGGATTAATCAGTTTGTCCAATAATGGCAGACAGGAAACAAAGGAGCTGGCTGAAGTTCAGGAAATCTAATTGCATAAACCCAATTAGAGAATTGAGATGTCCTTCAATATGGCTGAGCTCCATCGATTTCCTGGTCATAGGACGGAGGAGCGAGGAACGAGGAGGGATATTGAGAAGCACCCACTAAGCAAACAACAAAAACTAAATTAGATAATTAACTGGAGACAGGTGAAGGAGATGACTAATTAGACAGACTGGGGAAAACTCATATATGTATGAGTTCATATATGTAACATCAACATGAATCTTACTTTTTAAATATGTGTTCCTGGTCTTGTTATGAACAGTTCTTCGATACATATTGTTTACAAGTTGGGAAGCGTGTTTTCACCACAAAACAAAAGAAAAAAGCGAGTATATTTCTCCCATTACGAGTTTATATCTTACAATTCTGAATTTATCACTTGCAGTTCAGAATTTATAACTTAAAGTTTATATCGTATATCTAAATTCAGAATTTAAAAAAAGAATATATAAATTATATAAATTTAAATTCAATTCTAAACTCGGAATTGTGAGAAATAAATTCAGAATTGCGAGAAACAGTCAGAATTGCGAGATAACAGAATTGCCAGAAATAAAGTCACAATTGCGATATCTCAGAATTGTGAGATAAAAACTCGGAATTGTGAGAAAATTGTGAGAAAAAAGGCATAATTGTGAGATATGAACTTGGAATTGCGAGAAATAAATTCAGAAATGCAAGAAAAAGGCGGAATTGTGAGAAAAAAAAATTGGAATTGTGAGAAATGAAGTCAGAAAACTGAGATATAAACTCTGAATTGTGAGAAAATGTCAGAATTGCGCGATATAAACTTGGAATTGCAAGAAATGAAGTCATAATTGCGAGAAATAAAGGTAGAATTGTTAGAAAAAGTCAGATTTGCGAGATATAAATTTGTAATTGCGAGAAAACAAGCTCGCAATTACCTTTTTTATTCTCTATGGAAACAAGCTTCCATACAAAAGAATACAAATATATCTTTCCTAAAGCAATGTGTCTATTTTTTATTTTATTGTGTGCACATTATTTTCCTTTTTTTTCTCTAGGTGGCCACTGGACAGGTTTCTCATTTATCTAAATATGCAGATCAGAAATGCTCTGAGAAAAAGAATAAAGGGTAATTTTCCAAACGCTAAAAAGTGTCTATAGTGTGTGTTTCTTTTAACAACTCTTTGTCTCCTAACTATTCTAGTCAAAGCAGCAGTGCTTTTCAGCATGAGAAGTGTGAAGACACTGAAGAAGTTGCCAAGGAGCCTGTTACAGTCAGAGGAGCATATGAATCTTTAATCTACCTGAGACACCTCAGGATCAGAGAACTCAAGGTAAAACTCATGAAAGATGTGAAAGGTTTGAGAGATATTGGTCTTTTCTACACATTTTTTTTTTTGTAATAATTTTATTATTATTACAGATAAAACGAGTACTTCCTGAGATTATTTATTCCTGAGAAACATTATTTAGTATATAAACTATGAATTATTATTATTATTATTATTAAGCTGTTCAATAGGTTGGTAAGATGTTTTAATGTTTTAAAGTCCTCAATCTCATCAATCAATTTAAATTGACTGCTTTGTAATGCAATATATTGTTTTGTGATCAAAGCTGACTTTTCAGCATCATTACTTTAGTCTTCAGTGTCACATGATCCTTCAGAAATCGTTCCAATATGCTGATTTGCTCTTCAAGAAACATTTTTTATCATTATCAAGCTTTTTTTTCCTCCGTGGAATAAAACAATTGCGACTTTTTTTTTTCTTTTATGAGTTCATATCTCAAGAACAGCATTTATCGGAAATTGAAGTCTTCTGTAAAATTATAAATGTATTTATTGTCACTTTTGGTCAATTTAATGCATCCTTGCTGAATAAAAATATGAATTTATTAAAAAAAAAAACGTACTGCCTTTTGAACGTATAGGTTTGTTGCTTAAGAATTATGACCGTACTCTACTAAATTCTTTGTTTTGGTAAATTTTTTAAGAGGTAAGAAACTTTTCTGGAGCCACATTTGAAATTCTTTTCTGAAAATGTGCCATATAAATACCAGGGTATTACCATCACAGTACTGTTTTGCATGGGTTATTTCTCCTGTTATCAGGGTTTTACCCACTAAAATACTGTGTTTTATTGAGTCCTGGCCTCTTGTTTGTGTAGCGCACTTGTTTGAGCATGCTGAACTACCTGCGGTCAGTGGAAAGGACTCTGGCGATGGACGCCGCGGGTCTGGAGTTGGTCGGAGGAGATCTGGTGAGAAGTATGGAGGAGACGGGCTGGATGAGTGCTGCTAAAAGACGCGATGGCTCTACTGGAGCTCTTGGATCAAATCACTTCATCTACAACAGTCCGGTTGATCATAAGGTTCCTTACTTGCAGATTCACCCATTGTTTTATGGAAAAACCAATACAATGTGGAAGGCAGAGAGGGTAAACCTCTGTTCTGTTTTAGGTTCACTTTGCCGAGTTTATGGAGTTTGCTGAGGTGGAAAACCTCCATGATTACTACAGCACAGATGGGAGCCGCATCCACACGCAGGACCAGCGGGGTCTCTACATCATCTATGACGTGGCCCTGGTGGACCTGCAAGAGTTGGAGCAACATCTGCTGCTCACTGCGTCTCATTTCATACAGAGGAGCAGAGGTCAGGGCAGATGCTTCCCTCTCCCCTTAATTATACAAATTTTCTATTATCATATACAATTCAAGTTAAGTTTATTTGTATAGCGCTTTAACAACACTTGTGCTCCTATTTTAACGATCTAAGCCCATAGTCTAAAGCGCAGGGCAGGGCGCAAGTGCACTTAGAGTGTGTGCGAAGCCACTTTTGCTATTTTGACGAAGTGAAAAATTATCTTAATGAGGAATGGGTATGTTTTTGGCGTAAAATTATATACCAATCAGTCTCATTTCCCATTCCCTTTAAAAGCCAGTTGCGCTCGCGCCATGGCGGATTCGCTATTTACATGGCGTTATTTGATAGTGGAAAAACTAAACGCGTCTCCAGAGAGGAAACGGATCTGCTTGTGCGCGAGGTTAAAGCATGCAAGCAGACCATCTACGGGACAAGCCAGATTCCACCATATCTTTATGTACACAATAATTGTAATTGTAATCCTTTTATTTGTAATATTTATTTTGCATGTTTGTGTGCCCTGTGTGTGTATAAGCAGAGTGTACGCGAGACTCATTTGACTATAAATAACAAAAAAAATACTGAGCATAGTGTTTTTCAGTTGCCTCAAAATAGCAATGCGCCAACAATGCGCCTGAACACACCTCGTTTTCACGCCCATAGGCACATAAATGGGCGCCAATGCATTTGCTATTTATACAACGTGGTGTAGGACATGAAAATGATAACTGCGTCAGGCTGAAACAAGCAAAAAACACTTGCGCCGCGGTTGGCGCTGCATTGCGCAGGGTGTATGATAGGGCCCTCACTGTTTCATACTAGATTTACTGAAAATCATGATGTTGATGTTTATAATCTTAAAATTTGTATTTGTATTTAGCAGATTAGAGCTGGACTGGGTGTTAATATAGTACATATTTTGCAACGATACAAGCAGTTGAGATTTTCAACATACGATTCGCATTGATTTATGCGAGTGTACTGTACAGCTTGTATGCAGATAAAGTTGGACATACTAATGTATAAAACTTTTTAATAAAGAGCCAGGTGGTATTCACTCTTAGAAGAAAAGGTTCTATATAGAACCTTAAAAGGTTCTATCAGCACTACGTATTTAGAACCCCTTAAAGGTTCTATACACCCTTAAAGGAACACTCCGACTTTTTGGGACTTTAGCCTATTCACCTTACCCCCCAGAGTTAGATAAGTCCATACATACCTTTTTCATCTCCGTGCGTGCTATAAGTCTGTTTGACGCACCCACCGCTAGCCTAGCTTAGCACAAAGACTGGATGTGAATGGTTGCAGCTTTTATACTAATCCAAATGAGTGACAAAATAACGCAAACGTTTTCCTATTTACATGTTGTGGTTTGTATAGTCACAGAGTGTGCAAATATCAAGGCCATATGAGACACAGACATCTTTTAACCGTATAAATACTATATTTTCTGAAGGGGAAGCACTGCTACTTGGGCAGAGTGATAACGATCACCTGAGACGCACCGTGACGAGGAGCAGAGAGTTCGCTTCGCTCAGCGTTGGAATAAAGAGTCAGCAATTACTAACGTTAGATAGAAAAGCAAAGTTTATCATGGGTGTTTGCTTTATTGTATGAGCTGTGACAATAAACAGGGGAGACCAGGTAATACAGTACCATGTTTCATTGATTTCCAACCAAAAACGCACCCAGATTTATAAATATCACATGAATAAATAATTATTATTACAGGAATCAATATGTTTTAAATGCAATTTATTAGCTGAACCAAATGTATTCAACAGTAAATACATTTGCCTATATAATATACAGTTTTGCATTACTATAGGATAGAATAAGGGGAAAGTAATAGCACAAATTGTTTTTGCACAATGAACTCACAGCCTATCGTACCCTTTTGCACGCTCAAGTTCGTTATTTCCATGGTTATTTCAAATTTAGGCTACTAGGCGCGCCGCGCGCAGGGTGCAAGTTCAACGCGGTGAACGCGTTAAGGCCAATTTATACTTCTGCGTAGGGTGCGCGCAGTAGGTACGGCGTAGCATACGCACAGACGCGTCCCATACCGCGTACCCTTCCGCGTTGCCTGACGCGCACCTCTTCAAAAATGTAACTACACGTCGCGACGACGCGTACCGCAAGATCGGTGATTGGTCGGCTTGGTAGCGTCGTATTTCCTCATACGCATTTCCGCACGTACCTTCTCACGCATTTCCACACGTACCATCTCCTCCGACGTCTTCTCTCATTTCTGCCTTTCAGTTTTAGTAATTTCACTAAAATGAACTGTTTTTTCACCCCAATAAGCTCCAACTCCAACATGATCCACTCTCTTTCAGTCGCTATTGCTTGTAGTAACCTAGCTATGAGGAATCTAAACACAGTGGAACATTAAAACCCTCCGCCGCCTCCTAGCGTTTCAGAGCAGTACTGTAGAGCAACCAATACCTGAACGCAGAAGTATAAATGCTCACAACGGCGTCGCCTACGTGCGAAGCCAACGCCGTACACTACGGCGTACCCTCGACGCAGAAGTATAAATTGGCCTTTAGTTTTTTTTTTCCCAAGCGTGTCCGCACCGCATCAAGATAAAAACATATTCATACCCTAATCATATAATAGTGTCACTAACGTTACATTAGATCTGGCTAAAGGCACTGTTACAGTAGGTCATCTAAAAACATAACGGAACACTTACCTCAGCCGCAGGTGATCCACTTGTCCTGTCTGTGCTATCGATGGGATGGCCGTATCCTTCAGCACATTATGGTCCCTGTGGCAAATTCCATTTTTTCAAAATAGTCGTCCTCATTGAAATGTACCGAGCAAACATAATGTCCCTTGATAATCTTAGGTGTGTTTGGATAAATATCCAGAGTAAGTTAGCCATTTCTTCATCCAGTCAGCGTTTTTAGTTGGAATTCTGTGAAACATGGTTACCTCCCCTGTTTACAGTCGCAGCTATTTACAATAGAGCGAAAACCCATGACTCTAAACTACGCTTTTACTATTTATAAATTGCTGACTCTATTACCCAACACCGAGCGAACTCTCCGCTCCTCACCACGGCGTGTCTCCGGTGATGCGGTTATTACGCCGTCAAAGTAGCAGTGCTTCGCCTTCAGAGAATAGTTCCCAGGTTTTATACGGTTAAAAGATGTCTGTGTCTCATTTGACTTTGTTATTTGTACATTATGTGACTATACAAACCACAACATGTAAATAGGAAAACGTTTGCGTTATTTTGCCACTCATTTGGATCAGTATGAAAGCTGCAACCAGTCACATCGAGTCTTTGTGCTAAGCTAGGCTAGCGGTGGGTGCGTCAAACAGACTTATAGCACGCACGGAGATGAAAAAGGTATGTATGGACTTATCTAACTCTGGGGGGTAAGGTGAATAGGCTAAAGTCCCAAAAAGTCGGAGTGTTCCTTTAAAAAGGGTTCCTCTGGGTTCTATATAGAACCCTGGGGTTCCATACTTGGCTAATAGAACCTTTTGCCAAAAAAAAAAATGGTTCTATATAGAACCATTTTGGAGTTCCATATATGAAGCGGGGGATGGAACCATTTCTGGTTCTATATACTGTAGAACCATTTCTTCTAAGAGTGTAGTTACATTTTGCATAAATAAAGGCAGTTGATTTGCTATAAAGTATTTATCACTTTACCTGAGTGTACTGTATGTAGCCTATGTGGACAAGTTTGGATATAATATAATATATATCCAACTCTATATTCAGAGCTGTGCAATATAGTTTACATTTTTTGATGATACAAACAATCACCCGAGCAAGATTTGCTATATTCCTTTACATGAGTGTATTGTATGTATGCAGGTAAAGTAGGATGTACTATATATCTACCTTGTTTCAACTGTCTATAACGTCCTCGGGTTACGACTGTAACCCTTGTTCCCTGAGAAGGGAACGAGAACTGCGTCCAAGTGACACTTTGGGGGAACGCCCCTCAGCGTAGCGTCTCTGAAGCATGAATGAAACTAAGCCAATCTCCGATTGGATCAACGTGATGACGTGATGTGTGACGACACATAGGCGGAAGCATATATAAGGAACCGGCACACACAACATGTCAGCTTCTGTGATGAAGCAAGCGCTCCCAGGCAGGGGAAGGCGTGGCCACGAGACGCAGTTCTCGTTCCCTTCTCAGGGAACAAGGGTTACAGTCGTAACCCGAGGACGTTCCCTATCGAGGGAACTCGAACTGCGTCCAAGTGACACTTTGGGGGAACGAGTACCCACTACGCCACAACGCGCCCTGCCTGTCCTGGTGTGAAGCTGCTCACAGGCACACTCAGGACGCGAGCACAAGAGAGCCGGGTGTCGACGGAATGTCTAAGCTGTAAAACCTAATGAAGGTATGTGGGGTAGCCCATCCAGCTGCATCGCAGACTTCCTGGATGGGGGCCCCTGCGAGAAGGGCCCTAGAGGATGCTATGCCTCTAGTGGAATGGGCCCTCACAGCCAAAGGTGAAGGCATACCGCGCACCTGATAAGCTGTGGAAATCGCATTGACAATCCAGTTGCTGATGGTTTGTTTGAGGCCGGAAACCCCTTTTTGGGCGACCCGAAACATACCAGCAACTGGTCCGCCTTCCGCCATGAAGAGGACCTCTGAATATATATCCCTAGTGCTCTGACAGGGCAGAGCCTATGAAGTCTCTCCTCATCCGCCGTCAGGTGAGGTGGGGGATGAAATGCCTGCAGAACCGTAGGCCGTGCCACATTAGATGGCACCTTAGGCAGATAGCCAGGCCTAGGGTGAAGGATGGCCTTAATGTTGCCTGGAGCAAACTCCAGGCACTCGTTAGATATGGAGAGCGCCTGAAGATCTCCCACCCTCCTCAGAGAAGTGATGGCCAACAGAAAAGCGACCTTCAGCGTTAGGTTCTTGGCCTCAGCCGACTCCAGTGGCTCGAAGGGGGCCTCAGCCAATCCTTCTAGAACTACTGCCAGGTCCCAAGAGGGAACCCTGGTACGAGCCGCAGGT